AATGATCTTACCAATCTGATCGCGATGCTCTTAGGTCGAATGAGATCAAAAGGTATGATTCAGATATCATTGATAGCTTCATTTCACAATGTGTTTCATTTCCTCAGTTGCGAAAGAAACCATCTTTCACAGATAATGAGATGACGATATTCGAGTATCATACGAGCCACTGATTCAGACAGATGAGGCAAATTTTCACAAATGTATGTGGAGTTTTTATTCGTGGCGAGCCAAAATATTAACGCACCCTCGTAGAGTTTTAGAAAGTCGTGTTTGCATTCCACGTGGTACTCAATATCCATATCGGTGATCTTGATCTTAAATTCAACAAATTTCATTTTCATATACAATATTCATCACCAGCATATTTAAACACACAAACATCACAATTCCTTGCTGTCAACCTGTCGCATACTCACATTTCCTTCTCAATGTTTCGTTTTGCCCTCTGTAAGGTCTTCCATTCCAGTAAGTGTGTATCAGGTAATTTACTTCAATCTAGAGTTGTTTTTGGCGAATTCTCTTTTGAAATTTCTCAACGAAAGCATGCGATCATCACAGGAGCATATTCAGAATGCCAGAACACTCGCACTCATCACTCTCTTATTCCGTCGGGCCATGAACAGTATAATTTCGTTATTGAAGGAAACTCATGACTGATATGCTGCTTTCGAATGCTGTTTACGCAGTTACCTTTACAGTTTTACCTTCAGGCGCTCTCAGAGTCCAGACGCACTGCTGACTCGCCTCGTATTTTGCTTCGGAATCTCCGAATCCGGGACTCACTATCGTTCCACCACTTGTTCCGGTTAAGAAACCACCACAAGCTTCAAAAGTATTCGCCTTGTTGGACTTGAATGTATCTTTCAGACACATACAATAAATTATTCCGAATTCAAATTATAAATTCTAACGAGCCACATTTTTTGTGACTTTCAAACAGTTTCTTCCAGCAAAATTATGGATTCTAGAAATGTGCGAAAAATACTCCAGCCATGAGCCAGAAAGTTTTAAAACAGAAACCATCATACTTGTGAACTGAACAGTAAGGTTGAACGAAGCACTTGAATAGTGTCCTCGTTGAAAAACGAATATGTCGAAGGTTTGATGCGGCATTGCCACCGTGAAATTATCTGCATTTCGCAGACTCTCATTGCAGAATCGTGCCTCAAATGGCCAAGGATCACTTGAAAGAGCTGAAATGTGCCACAACCATCAGATAGTGCATTCGCCTTCTGCATGTAGCGAATCGCTTTGAAATCATTTCTTCGACATAACGACCGATGTAGTCAACGAGGAAACGATGTGATGAACTGAGGGAAAGTGAACCGATCTATCCCAAAATACAGTAGTCTCCTTAATGCATTTTGACATATCTCCGGATAATTTCACGATTATCTGAACTAATATCGAATTGATTTACTATGAATCAGCATTTCTTCTGAATTACCTACCCGAAATCGCAACGAAACTTCTAAGATCCAAACACTTCTGTCGTCCGCCCCAAATCTGATCTTGATTCGTTGTGAAATTCGTGAAGCGTAACACCGTCGTTCCACTCTTGAATGGTCTTTCGACAAGAATATGGCAGTAATCTGAAATAGTATCGATATAGCACTAATATGGCAGAATGGAACATCACAGAAAAGGGTATTTGAAGTACCTGGAGTTCATAGTAGTAAAGTATATGAAGCATCTGAAGCAGTATGGCAGTATCATAGAAAACATGGAAAATCTCAAGATCAGATTCAGTTTCGGCTTTCAAAATATTATTTTCAACAGATACGAATAAAATGNTGATAATAGCCAGCATATCAACTGATGTTTTTCCGTGTCATACTAACCTTTTTCAACGAAATTTATAGTATAATCTGGACTTCGAGACCCGTTCACCTCGATGGACATATTCTGTGTTACGTGGTACATACATGCATCTTTATCGAAGTCAGCTGGTACCTGAGCATTCAACAAACCGTTGCAATGACGGATCAATATCAGAATCAGTGTTCCGAAAACACTTTTCAAAAAATACTTGTTAGGGAAGGCTTTTCAGGTGGTCATAAATGTTTTGACGAGTGCTCTTATTTTCTTTTTCGTGTTTTGGAAAGCTAAATTTTTAACAATATTATCCGATTTCCGCTAAAAATTTCCAGTTTTTTTGGATAATCCAACAGTTTCATTCTGTTTCTGGAATGGAACAAAACGGCTGAATGAATTGAATTGTAGACGATAAGCAGAAATATTCTCACTTTGAGGTAGTCAATATGGAATGGTGCATAGATTTTTTCAGCTGATGTGCCATTATCAAGCATTTGTTTCTTCAAGAAATTTGCAACGTGATCATCATATGTTACTGAGACAAAATCGCTTGACGAAATGAAACGTGTTTTATTCGCACAAAAATTGTATTCACTCTGTCCGAAATACTCCATCATCTCGTGAATTCCGTTTTGCACGAATACATCCGGATAACATCCAACACCGCTGAACGTTGACTGATAGTAATTCTGAAAGAACATTGAATGAACTCAACTTCATAGCTGTTATCTGATGAGGCTCTCTTCTGAAAGGGAACTTCAATCGCAAACACCAATCACGTTTAACGAGAATGCATGCATGCACATACGTTGTGATCAATGAATTTGAAATCAAAAATGTATCGATATCCGATCCCTGCACGGAATTTCCATTCACAGACAATATTTTGAACGAGCTGATTCGGATATCCTGGCGTTGTCAGCCGCCCTGACTGATCGCTTATCTCACCACCACATTCTGCAAATGATATTTTCGTATGGAATATTTAAGCCTTCCTCGAAAGTGCATTCACATTGTTACATTCAATTTGATTCAACTTAAAAGAACGTTGGATAAGAGTAAAGAAATATGGTCAATGAAAAAAGGCCTACCGAATTGACTCGGTTCCACACTCAGTTCAAAACCGCATTTCCGCTCTAAGCAGAACATTCGGCTCGCTCGTCCGAGTGTGTTATTGCTATGAAAGGTTACACTCATCATATTTCTCGCCGACGTGAAGTGCTTACCCCGAACTCCATTCATCATACACGATGGTTCCAGGATATGATCGCCTGGAAAACTCCATTGATCGTTGATGATGCATTCGATATCGAAATTTCGAAGTAGAATCAAATCAGCAAATTTTTGCTCAAACTGAGAAATGCATATTGAAATTCTGTCAATCTGGGAATCGTAGTCCTCAAAATCTGCTTTCAGTGTTGAATTGACTTTGCTTTTTCCTTATGTAAGCATATGGCTTGCATATGGAAAAAACAAAACTGATTGCATTAACTGACCTGTTGAGTTCCTTTCGCGCAGCTCAACGCGATCGTTAGTACAGTTTTCGCTGTAGTACAGCCACATATGATCGAAACTGAAAATTCGTTTAGCATTAGGCAACATGATGGCTAAAACTAAATACTAGATGTCTTAAAGCAACTATGCTTTCGATCAATCACTTTTGATGGGATCAAATGAACTATCACAAGCAAACTGGCTTAATGATTATATTGTTAAGCTAAGGAAAGTGGAGACTTGTGACTTAAAAGCATTAATTTTTACGTTGCGTTCACGTAGTGACCACCAGGCGCTTTCACAGTCCACGAGCAATCGGCGTGATTTGGATATGGTTCCGGATAGTTGGGACTACGGATTGAACCAGTGCCATTCACTGGAATCACCACTGATCCACCGCACGATGCTGAAATGATAGAGTGAGCGTGCTGATAACTCTCTTGAATCCAATTATTGTTCAGATCGCTTCTAATTTGCTTTGTATACCAATTTCATAAGTGGCATTCCATCCCATCGACTGCGCATACGAATCGGTTTGGTAACGGATATACAAATAAGACCATGTGCTGAACACTGTGCTTGGGGCATCCTGCTTACAGTAAGTACCAATCAACGGTGAGTACTTCGATGGGCCATCCCGAATCTCCAAATAGTCATCGCTACATCTGAAACTGATCGAAGCTTCGAGTGCATTCGTAATTGAAAATAAACGATACAATGCTTTCTGCAGACATCTGGTCTGTATTTGACATGAAAATGCAATGAACTGACTTTTCTCCGAGGAGTATATAATCTGATCCAAACAGGAGGAAGAATTCCATCAAATCATCAGAGTTTTATTCCGCTACACTTTCATCCGATCAATTTTCAACAACAGTTCAAGGCAAACGAGAGGAATCAGCGTTTCCACTCGTACACAGTTAGTGAAACAGTTTCAAACATCGAAAAATTGGATTCTCTCATTGGAATGAAATCGTTTGAAAGAATGATTCATGACTAGAATTTTCATGAGTGAATGGCACAATGTGCAATTGCTGGCATGAATATGGAAAATGCGTACGTCTCATCAAATGAACTGTCTTGTAGATCAAATGTGTTCGGATCAACGGTGAATTTGATACTGTGTCCACCAGGTGCACTGATAACCCAAACACAATCCAGAGAATTCGGCGACACTGAAAATGAATTCGCTGGAGTGTGATACTTCGATTGTTTATTATAAGAGTGATACTTCGATTGTCTATTATAAGAGAAAATCAGTTTGACGAACTCTTTGGAAAATTTGGTGATGATAATACTTTCGGTGGATCGCCTTCGTTGATCACAAGGCGATCTGAGCTGCAGTCATGCACTTGTTCCTTTATGTGTAAAGCAAATCCCTGAAANGGAAGGAATGTCCCATCACTAAAAGATTTCACCAGAAGAAGTTTCGGCTTATAGGCTACACCTGTGTGAGAGCTATTTTCGAAAACTCAACGCCGTCACTCGCCTGAACGAGGTAGCATTCAGAACCTGTGACACTATTTTCAGTGATAGATTCAAGTGTTTCATAATGAATCGTTTCTTGGATTCAACGTGCTTTCTCTCTTGACAGAGATGTTAGCTTTGATTGAATGAGAGAAAGATACGTTGAATACACCATGTGAATATTCTTAACAATAGATTGTGTTGAGAAAAAGAAGATCATTTCGAATGTTCCATAGACCGACCATCTTACTGCCATCCATATCGCTTTTGAATGCGACATAAAGTCGTCCGTTCAGAAATGTTGCATTCCAACCGCTCATTTCACCACATAAACGCTCCATAGGTTCCGTGCCATAGGTGGGATGTGAATTCTAAAGTGAAGCATTCAAAGCATTCATCAAAAATTTGCAGGTGGAAGTTGTCACGTTATTAGAAGCAAAATTTATCCGTTCATTTACCAAAACAAAAAATACTGTAGCCTCCACTTCGGCAGGTGAGATATGTCCATTTCACAAAGTCAATTTCACAAAGACACAACCGATTCAATGAACATTCTCTTGTTCCTTCTACAAAGAATTTACCGACCATGCAAAAGGCTAAGAATAAACTCTAATAGCGCAAATATTCAATGAAGTGTTTTGTGTACTAGAAACAGTTCAATTCATACCACATAAACGTAATCTTTAGAGCACCCTTCGCTCTTCTCAATGTCCATATCAATGAACTGTGTGTAGATTGGTCGATTGCTCTCCAAGACAATCATCCAATTGCACGAAAGATTGCTGGCATAAGAATCCGGGTAATTTGGGGTGTATATTGTTGCGTCNCGAATAGTTTTCAACCGGAACTTAGGAATCCAATTCTTTGTCAACTAAGCAGAATCTTTCTCCAGAAAAAAAACTCGCTGGAAAACGTCGAAGTGACCCAGGTGAAGTTAAATGATAAACGCGAGTGTTCAGGGGGAATTAATAACAAAGCATGATGACATATGAATGCTTAAATTAATCTGACACGATGGCAAGCACTTACTGAGTTTATATTCAAGGACAAATCCATGCCCTGCTCGATTGCGATCTGTTATGAAATACAGAAATATGATATCTTCAGACTGGTACGATTCCTCTCGACCAACGTCACTGTGCTTGCAGTATCGCGTTGCTGCATAACTGTAAGTGCAGTTCTGTGAACGTTAAGATGCTGCTGCATTCAGATATCAAAATTAGTTGATTATAAGAGCGATCAGTATTCACATCTCTTGATTAAATTCTAGATTCTACCCTCTAGCAACCTAGTGCATCATTTCTTGAGATTAGTTTCTGTCGATGGAAGTATTTCCACTGTATTCCAGTGAAACGTTTAAGGCATCCTCGAATGTGATAGATGACGGAAACCAATCAACATACTTGGCTTGCCCATCCTCGAAAGTGACCAGACCCGGATACCCACCAGCAATTGCAACATAGTCGAAGCGGCAATCCACGTGCTCCTCCAAATCCATCGACACAATTCGGATGGAAACACCGGCAAATTGCGGACGTGAAATTGTCCAACGGCATTTCAAATTGTCCGCATAACCGCCTGAGCAAGCACACACCATACTTCATCAGATTATTCGTTCATATTAGAAAAAAATCGAACTTTTAGCAGTGAATCCCAGTGATAGAATCAAAGAATCAACGGAAGCTTTTTATGAAATCTACTGCTTCTCATTAATATATCGTTCTATTCATGAATGAGATATGATCACGGAAGCAACTCTTCTGCTCACCTGCGTAACGCTTTCCGAAGTTCATGAATCGATGCCACCGTTTGGTTGTTGTTGTAATCGGTTCAATGGTTGTGAATGAGCCATCCTCTGACATACCGCCAGGATTCGTCAAATACTGCGGTCGATACGTCGGTGTCAGTGTACCTCCGCATGTGAAGATCGCTGAACGCACAAAAATGAACGGCTAATACATTTCGATCTCAACAGGAACTGCACAGAAACACGCCTCGACATAGCATGGAAGTTCTTAAGGAATTCAATGAGATCCAAAACAATTTGCATTGAACTATAGATTTCATATTAGCATTCTTCAATGACCAATAATTTTCAGAAATTCGTCTTCGATAAAATTTTCGATTCTCATTTGTTGCGTTTACAAAAACTCTGCGATTCATAGCGAATAAGTACTGTTGAATTTTTTCGTTCCTTTATATGAAAGCAATCTAGCTGGTAAAGCATTGAATTAAATCAGTCAAATGCGAACGAAAGTGCTGTGTGGCTCAAATTCGTTCATTATTTCAAAAGAATTCGATGAGATCGCTCGTCAAGTAAAAAGTATACCTGCTTCATCGGTTTCAGTTTTATTCTCTGAGTGAAGTGTTGCATTAGCAGTAGCAATTGTTAGTTCTCGCCAACTCAACGAAAATGAACTACCCGGTAGAGCATTGAACTGAACGGTGGCAAGATTCGATTTGACGATGAAATCTGATGCGAATGCATTTACAGATATGTAATCGATGGATAATACAGAGAAGTGAATGAAACTTGGTTGAATGAAGGGAATCGCATTGAATACGATAAAATTTTATCCTTTTTTAAATCCGTGGAGTGCAACGGTCGTATGACCAATGGTAAACAAACGGATAACTGTCATTTCAAAAATGTTGAAATTATCTCGAGAAATGGCTTCAATAATTTTCGTATGTATTCGGAAAAATCAGTAAACTGTAACGTTCTTGATCAGTTGATATACATTAGGTGAGCATTTGATTTTCGCTCATTACTCAAACATAACTTGTTTTCTGCGTTCGCAAAAATATTCAAAAAATTTTTCTATTGGTAAATAAACTTGACAGCGATTGGGAAGTACCTCTCGGAGGATTGTAACCGGCAGCGACGAATGCGACTGGACCGCATTCCTCATTGAGAAAACGACGTTTGCAAAGTCCCTCGTTGAACTGCAAGAAATCGATAGAATTTTCGACGGATTTGCGGAAGAAATATGAATCGAGAAGCCACAGGAATATGACAGAAGTACCGTTAATCCTTGAATGGTCTCTCTTTGCTCGTAGTCGTCATTTTGGTTGCGCTCATCCGGTATTTGAATCGAATTGATGTGGAATATTAGCCAATGTTCGTCGCTACCAACGATCGTCCACTCAATCGCACGATAATCAATGGAACGCCAGTCATCTGCGGCTGGCGATGTAATTGTATCTCCATTCACTAGGCCTCCGAAGACTGAAAACGCATCTCACTGTGTCTTATCATGGCAAGTTAATCTGGCAGCAAAACAACGCTTGATAATAATTTATTTCCAATAAAAGCAATGATTTTGGCAAAGTGGTGATGCGGAACCTTTCGAGAACTTCAGATTCAGTTCTGGTTTAGTGTCATCTATCGTTTCATCGCCTTCTTCTCCATCACGAATATATCTCAGCTTAATCCAGAGCGCCTCACTCTGAAATTCTTTTTTTCAGAAACATCATACGAACTAAACCGCAATATAAGATACAGCAAACATCTGCTAGGCCGATTACTTCAGTACGACGAAAATCAGAATTTCATGCTTTCAACAACCACCACAAACAATTGAGAGAGAGAATGAATAAATGATACCGTTATTGACGCTTGGAAATCTTCTATTCGACAAGCACGACTGATTAGTGAGCCGCTTGCATTATGCTCACGCACTTCGAGATAGGAATCTGCGCAGTATTCCGATTCTGGTAGTTTCAATTCACTGAAAACTTGGAATATGAGGTTAGACTGAATTATGAGGAGATAGGATGTTGATTTCGCTGAATGTGCAACGTAACATTGAATCCCATAAAGGTTTAGTCAGGAACACTTACATGAGCTCGATGTTGACCTTATTGCCTGGAGTGTTCGCAAGAGACCATTCGCATTCGACAGCCTTTTCGGTGAACGGATAAACGATGGATCCTTCAACCGCATGTAACTCTCCACCGCACCCTTCAAATGCTTGCTTACGATTAGAATTAAAATAGCTCAAGCAAGTTGGCACCTCAAGCGGACACTGTGATTTTAGTGCGAGATGATACCCACGTTAAAAATTTCATCTCGAATTATCGACTGCGAGAAAAATGGCTGCTTTCAGCAGGTTAATGAGAAGCAGCGGAGTACTGAATTGTACCCCTGAAACNAAAAAAAATCAGCCCAGCTCAATCGATGCATATCGATATTTTAGCTGCATTTTGCCAGAGGATTACCTAACATATTGGGGAAGTTTTCTGTGTGTTGCATGGACAAAAAATGAAGATGCAATGAAAAACAGATGCATTGAGTGCGTGATGCGTGAAGAAAATTCGAAAATTTCGATTATCATCCGAACGTAATCATGAAATTCATTGAATCCAATGAGCATATGGTATTTTTCATAAAATAGAGAGGTAAAGTGACATTTTGTTGAGAACAAACGACTACTGAACCGTGTCATTGATTACTTACACGCCAAGAAGAGAAGCATCATCCTGAAAGCCATCATACACGTTGACTGTAGCTGGATTTTTACCGCGAGACAAATGGTGCTTAGCTTTCTTGAAGGCGATGTGATCGATACGAAGATAGACGTGCTCAGCTTCTAAAATATTTCGCCAACTTTACAAACGCCAGCTTTCTGATAATTTTTTTGTGATTCATTTCAACTGATGCATCGCTAGCAATTTTTTATGTCTCAGTTAACTTATTGCTTTGCATTTGCGGGAATTTTCAACGTTTGTAGGAATGGAAATGGATTATTTTATGTGATTTTCGATCGATAATAAGGTGAACTGATATCGTCCACTTCAGTCATTCTTAAGCACATTGTAATATGTGACCAATGAAAGTGAAAGCAGTGATGTGAACAATTCCAGAACCGGTTTGCAATCTCGAACTCAATTCAATAACAGAAATTCAAACAACTATTCAACAATATGCTGATTTTTCTCTTTTTTCATTAGACGAATCATCAAATTCGTCTAATATGCTACCTTCACTTCTGATGTAGAATATGCATTCATCATCATCGAATGAATTCAGTCGCAGTGACTGCATTTGCGAGTTGGCAATCAACGTCCCACCACATCTAGCCGACGCCTGTAGAACAAATCCGATACTGTGCAACGCTTCATCGTCTCCAGACAAATACGAACGATCGTATGGCGCACCTTGGAAACTCACAACTGCCTGAAATGACTCTTCGAAATTCGACGCCTTCGTCGTAAGCCAATGCAACATTCACTGGGATGATGACTGAACATAATGGAATCAATAAACCGCTGGTATTGCATAGGCGTTAAGTCAGCTATTTTTTGGACCAGAATATTTTGTCTCGCCCTTGCCCCTTCTTTTTAAAGAATGTTTTGGCTAGGCCACCGATGTTCATGATCAAAATTAGTGATCTGATCTGAAGTGAGGTCAATGTTACAGATTATTCCAGTGTGCGGAAAAATTTTCTAGCCCCTGATTGACATTTTTCTTGTCGCACGGTTGAATCACAGTGAGAAAAGTGGCAAAATTTGGAACGTTAGGAGACCTGATTTGTAGTCGATCTCACCACTTTCCATTCTTTCAGATTGTAACAGATACGCTCCAGAATCTCACCGTCACTGAAAAAATTTTGACCAATATCAACCGTTCAATTATCGTTGTTATGTCCCAACAATGACAATCAAAAAATGTGATCTTCAAATAATTGAAAGATATGCTATTATTCATTTCACTGAAGCAGAATAAACAATCAGAATGTAATTCCAAAAAAACGTTTCTAATATTGGATTAAAAAAGCAATGAGCGTTTTTCTTCGATGGCGATTTCACTGCCAAAAAATGATAAACTTTCAAAGGTCTCCTCAGACGTCGACATGAACTCACGTGTTGTTGGCGTTGAAGAACGATATGGATCCTTCCACAAAACTTATTGGACTTTGGCACCTGAATTAGAGATAAATGATATCCGGTTACATTTTGAAACACCGCAAACTCCAAAATTATGTAATTGATCGCTACATCTGAGTAGAAGTTGAAACTTCATAATGATTCTCATTTACTTCGAAAAAATATTTATGCAGGATGTGTTATAAAGTAAGTTGAGTGCGATTGATGCACTTCATCAACCCCGTGATAACAGAAAGCAGCAAACGGTTTATACGATGAAGCTTTACTGCAATCAACTAACGTGATGTTACTCAAGTAGGAAATTCTCCAAGGTGTTGCCGTTTGTCGTTGTGGATGATAACCGAGCGTTTTGTAGTGAGTCAGGTTGAATTGTACGGTATGACCTTGGGGTGCATTCACCAACCAAATGCATTCGATGGATTTTGGATACGGATTCGGATAGTTCGGTGAGTGAATTATCGCGGGTGCCAAATGGGTCACTAAAATCGCACTCATCACAAACAGCATCCATCAAATTCATTCAAGCTGCGATAGTACAGGGATGATCTATCGTGCAGCGATGAGCAATGCTTATAACGAATTCCTCAGAATTCAACTTATAATAATCTACAGAACTGATAGACTCTCATAGGACTGCAAATAATTGCTACATTCGAGACGATTTTCTCAGTTTAACACAAGTTCAACGGAAGCAAGTTACTCGATTTTCACCATTTAGTGAGAGAGGCAGTTTCATGCCTGATGAGTAACGACAGATCGAAAACGATCTGAAGTTGATCACACCTTTTGATCGTTTGAATCTTATGCTTCGGTGAGTATCAAGCTCGTCATCATGAACACAACTAACCGTTGATAACTGCTCCACAATGATCACCAGATGACGGTCGTTCGAATCGTATCTTTCCTTTGAGAATTATGTTCTCTGAATCAGGTTTCGCATATTTTCGTTGTAATCTCAGTCTAACGTACAATTCATTGGTGTGTGATTTGTATTCGTTTACGGTATCGATATTTTCGCAGATAACTTTCGATGCAATTCCTGAGTGATTTGTTGTTCCCGAATAGAACTGCAAACAGATGAGTACTGTCATGGACCTAACACAGTCAAATTTCTCATAATTTATTGATTGACAGCAATGAAGTCGGTTCAAGAACTTCCTCGTGGAAGTCATGTATTTTAAGCAGCTCTGAAACTACCGATCGCATTCAGTATATTAAAAATGATTACTTCACACATAGCGCGTAACTTACCGACAATCCGTTGACAGCTTCTGGATTATCGTAACTACAACCTTCAGGATTAGAAAACATAAGGAATTTCTCAATCGAGAACAAAACGCGAAGACCGATTGGAGCTGAGATTGTCCAACTGCACTCGTAAACATCTGCGTCCGTTATCAAGTTTGAGACATTAACGGCAAAATCACTTTCAGACTTATAGATGCCTCCGCAACCTGGAATTGATTTCACGATGTCAAGATATTGAGGATATTTTCGTATGCAAAAAAGTAGATTGTTTCAAAGGAACGTTCAGAACTGATCTGATTGCGATGATCAGGAGAATAATAGGACTCACCAACTGTTGACCATGAAAGCCAGAAATGATTTTCAGGCTCATTTCTTGAAGCAAAGGTTATGTCGATGAAATGACTATTGGATAGAATTGTTATCGGTGAGCCAGAACGGTCACAGAATCGTCGAATTGTTGAATTATCATCGCGTTCCGAATTTTTCATCATTATCGTTTGGTTGATTTGATTTTCAGCTATCTGAATCGACTCTCATAAAGTGAGTTTATGATCGCGAAGATGTAGATGTCTGCGTGAATTATCGAATCACCAGCTTTGCTCATTCGATTAGAAAAGAAATGTGCAGTTCAATTTCAAGTGGGGTAATTTTTGCGTAAAGAAACGGATTGCCAGTAAATGAGCTGCTTCATTCATAGCCATCTTATACCATTGCTACGGTTGTTGCTTCAGAGTTGGATATTCGTAAGAATCTCATATTCGAAACGAAACAACCTCAAAGTAGTTAACGAAACACATTGGCGTATAAGTTGTGAAGACTTCGCTGAGTCGAAAACGATGAAATGTTAAGCGGATACGATTTGCACTCGTCGTTTGAATGCGCCATTTGCAGAAACGATTCTCCAGTGTTCGATGCGGGTATCCAGGACTTTGCAGCACTCCATGATGGGTCGTCAACAAGACATCGTTACACACTGAATTTGGTAGAGTGCAAGAATGAGTGCATCGACCAAAAAATATTATCCCATGTTTTTAAATGATGATGTAGTTTAACCGATTGGATACAACAAGAACAACTCAATCAAACTAACCATTCCTCGTAGTTCTGGAGCTCTAGTATCAGTACAAGTATTCAAAAAAGTATTTCTGGTCATTATTATTGGACAATGTGTTGCTTTCAGGTGTAGCACTAATAACTTTAGATGGATCAATTTATTGGAGAAATTGATCGAATATATTCCGACAGATCATCGGAGGTTGGCAATGAGCGAAGTGAAAGTGTCACGGAGGGTATTTCATACTTATCAAATACAGCGATTCTGCTTATTATAAAGCTGTCAACATGACATCGAAATCAGTAGATTCGTCAAATTCTCAGCGATTGCAAATTTTTAGTCTAATTTTTTTGGTTTCATCCATTTCAAACTCGATAGTCTTATAATTTGACCGGATGGTTATTGTTTCGGAACATATAGTTTCGGACAGATATTGCGCTGATATACTGACCAGTGACGTAGTGCGCAAGGAAACCGAAAAGTGATCCAAAATGAGTGCCACCGTGTTGATGATATCTGACTGTTAACACATTACTGTCCGAGTCAACCGGAGGCAACGAAATCTCCTTCTTGCAATAGCGTCGAAGGATTCGAGCGGTTGCTGTCGGACCATCGGCAACCTGAACTCATCATTGACACTATCTGGGTTCAAATAGATATTCACATGTTTTTAGTTGAATTTAGCAATAACTATTTGGGAACGAATGATATGAACAACACTGAGCGATTTGTTGCGACCGAGAAAATCACAAAAGTCTCTTTACATTCGCTGATTTTCAGAGGAACTAAAGTCCACTTTCAGAAATTACTGCACTGATGAATTCTTCAGGTGAAACCTTCGAAAATCAATTACAAGTAGTGTATTCGAAGGAAATACGAGCTTCCACGTAAGAAGAACGATATCAATGAAGGAATAATGTGCTATGGAAGGCAAACGAGATGCATGAACTCATAATGAGTTCAATTTTTACTGATTGACAAATGTAACGCACATCAATGTAGTTTGGTGCAAATGTGGAACAGAAACCGTTCACGTCCGCTGAATTCAAATCGTCCACCATTGTTATCGAGAAACGAATGCGATTCCCTAAACAAGCGCCTTCGTTTAATCCGTTTCATTTATGCGTTCGTTTAGGCATTCAATGGATCACATAGGAAATAGATTGAGATATGGATGACGATAACTGATCAGGAAATTGCTAGTAATAAAGCGGAATTTCAGTTGTAATTTTTTTAGGTAGTTTAAGCTCATAAGATCAAATAGTCGTGGGAAGAACAGTATGCATGCAGACGGTTGATGAAATATCATTAGGTTTAAATCAAATAAGACCAAAAGAAACCGGCTGCTACTGATATATGCCAGTCACAGTTCAACGTTCTTGAGTCTTTCAATGGATATTGTGGTGACGACAGCGCTCCACTTAATCCCCCAATTTGTCCGCCACATCCTGAATTCAATCTCATGTGAACAGCTTAGAATATAGTGAATGGATTTCTAATCATGAATTCTGTGCAAATTGATTTGGCAGCATTGATTGGCTGTATATGTGAAAAAATTTGGAATGAGATTGTTGAACAAATTAAAAACTTGGAGCGCCGCTCCATTTGGTGGAGCAACGAGGTATGGTGAGAAATGGAAGTTTAGTGGAATTTAATGGAACGTAAACAAAAATCACCAGAGTCAATTTGTTCATAGTAAATGTGGAATTGTACGGCTCGGAAAGTTGTCGTTTTGAGACGCATGAAAACGCGATTGCCTTGAGAACGAAGCTCAGTGACCGGATGTTGATCGCAGACTTCTGAATCTCGATATAAACCACTGAATCCAGGTGATTGCTCATTCACACCATTTCTAAACTACTTGACTTCTTTGTGCTAGACTGATTATGATCATCACCAACTATCACAAGAAATTGAGCTTAAAAACAAGCGCGAAGGCCTGCTAGATTTGGCTACATGTTTTTGTATTTCCTCATATGGTCTGCACCTCCATACGATTGTAATGTTTTCACAATCAAAACCACGCACTTCACTGTCAGTGTTGCCTCGGTACAAGGCGCAGAGAAGTTGTGGAATTTGAGAAGAATTCGCTTCGTTGACGGCAGCTGAAAACAAGAATGATTTCTGACACTCGTATCGCTTGGTTGTGAGAAATTGAATGCTTACGAAAAGAGGTGTGCATTAAGTTCAGCGGTTCTATTTTCAGATAATGAAACATTGTTCGAAGACCGTGAAAGAGTGACAAATATTGTGCGGACATCAAAAATGATGATGCGATATTCAAACAATTGTCAAATTCAAATTATAAAATTTTGTTTCCATACTCTTTTAGCACTGACAAATCAACGAACGTTCCGGATAGAATTTATGAATGGCAACAACCATCAATCTCTAATAAGTCATGAAATGGAAAACAACGAACCGCAATTATGTAGTCACATTGCGTAATTCGCTGCGCAGCTTCGATATTGATCACAATTTGACCACTAAGTGCCGTAAACGAACGGTGACAGTCAACCTGAAACAGAATCCAATTTCTGTAGTTCAGTTATCGCAGCAATTGGCGTAAAATTCTATTTCCAACAGTCAGAGGGAATCACATGTCTCAGATCGAAGGGAACGATGTTTGGAGCCATTTTAGGGGGGAGGGGGAGGGGGGAGGAGTGCATGAGATATCACCGACTACATGACATTTCCTAAAAGTGCTTCACAGAATTTCAGATGATGCCCAGTGAGTGAAAATGATGCTTGCTCTCTAATGAGGCTAATCAACCAACACGACCCGACCTTGGCATCAACTGCTTGCCAATGCGCCGTAAAACCAGCTCCATTCACGGAACGATCGCTTTTGAACACAACCGCTAGCTGTGAGCCAGTTGACAGGATTGACGGTGGCATGAAAGTGCCGCAGTATCTGAAGCATCTCTTTTAAAGCTTCAACAAATTTTCATCAAAATTACATGACTTTTAGTTAGTTCAAGAGCGTCACATATGGTTGTTTTATTCGTTTCTGCTGCACAAAAACAACGTTACGGGATACTCGAATAAGCCTAAACCTTCACCTTCCATGCATATCACTGTGCTCGTCATCGCTGATATAAGAATCATAAATTTCAACACTATCATAGGCGCAATCCTCTCGATTTGGTACCACTTCCAGTTCGAATATGTCGAACGTTAATCGAACTCGCTTGCTCTGGAAGTTAGTGTGGAGCGAATTATTGCATTTACTTATGATAATTCTACGAACTTGTGTCAATACAGGGTTTTTGAAAATGCAGATGCATGCTGGAGAATGAATTTCATTTCTGGCATTGACATTTAGGAGCTTTCATGTGCCTTTAATCAGGAGCACTAATTTTTTTTGGAAAAACTCTACAAGCAATACGACTCACGAACCGTTGGTACGTTGATTACATATATACAAAACATATGCGCCAAATACTTTTCCGGATAGTTCGGACTTGTAATCGTTCCTGTTTCACCATTGAACACACCACCACACCCTGAAACATGCATCAAGCATCTCCAATTAGAGCAGTGATTCTCATGTTCGAGTGCTCCATTACCCGTTTTAATGATTTGTCAGGCC